TCATACCTGATTCATCTGTTTACCCGTCTGTTTGTCCCACTCACATGTCAACACAGAAACACAGTTTAATATGCAATTACGCATCCGAAACCCCTCCAGACGCCCTCCGTGCATGCGCAGTCCCCATGGGCGTGTGTACGTGCGCGTACGTGCAGAGCAACGGCCTCCTGAGAACGGCAAGGGGCTCCGTCGGGCCACGTCCAGGACCGGGGCGCGATACTCTCGTTGCGTGCGCCTCTCCAGCTTCTTTGAGGGACTCGTAAACTCTCCCTTATATATGCTTCTCGATTTAATTTCGTTCGACGCTAAGTGGTTCCGAGAGTAATAAAGGAGAAGGAGTTGGCTAGGGGGAGCAAGGTGAGACGTCAGGCCCGATTTATTGCGGTTGTAATTATCGGATGCCGTTGGAATGCTGCTGGCTGCTCCTGCTGGCTGCTCCTGCTGGCTGGCTGGGGTTGGCTGCTGCTGGCTGGCTGGCTGCTCCTGCTGGCTGCTCCTGCTGGCTCCTGCTGGCTGGGCTGTGGCTGCTGGCTGGTGGCTGGCTGTGCTGCTGGCTTGGCTGGTTGGCTGGTTGAGGGTGGCAGCTGTTGTTGGCTGGAAGGGTGGCAGCTGTTGTTGGCTGGAGTGGAGGGCAGGTTGGATGGGTCGGGGAGGTTGGGATATCATTTTTGGCGGAGTTGGAGGTTGGGTTGGTGTTGGCCTGGTTGGGGGGTTGGCAGGTGCTGTTGGCTGGGGTGGAGGGATGGCCGGTGTCAGCTGGAGGGAGGTTGGCATATGCTGTTGGCTGGTGTTGTCCGGGTTGGAAGCTTGACAGATGCTTTCGGGTTGGCTGATGCTGTTGGTAGTGTTGGGAGGGTGGCAGGTACTGGCTTCTCCTGGGTTGGGGAGTTGGCAGCTGGTGTTGGCGTAAGTGGGAGGCTGGCTCATGTGTGCTCGGTTAGATTTTGTGGCTTTTGCTGTTCGCTGGTTTGAAATGCGGATGCAGCTGTTGACCGTTGCAGCTGGCCCGGTTGAAATGCTGTCTGCTGTTGTCGGCTAAATGCCTGTGATGAGTCAAGCTTTTCTATGCTTCAGTCCTGGTTGCTGTCGGCCGCTTTTATTGGCTTGATAGGAGAGTCAGCCGTTTCGCTGTTGGCAGGATTCGGAGGCGGTTGCTGCGTTAGCGGGGCTGGTGGAAAGTTGGCAGCTGATGGCTAGGATGGGATGCTGGTTCTGGATTGGCTATTGCTGTTTTTAGCTCGCTAAGGAGGTCAGCTGCTTTGTTGGCAGGGCTTTTAGTGCCGTTTCCCGTCAGCTGTGACGGCGCCGCGGAACGATTTTGTGAGGAACACCGACCCCGTTTCTTCGTTATATCGCATCGGGTTAAAACCTCGTTATCAGTTGGGAAGCGTTCATCTGTGAAGGCCGAACGCGCTGACACGGCTGCTAAGGAGTCATCGTGAGCGCCGAGGAGCTGACGGCGCCTCGGCAGACTCCTCCGAGGCGAGCGAGAGCGAGGGCGCGCTCGTTCGGGTCGGAGGATTCTCGGAAATGGCACAAGGAGTTCCCATAATAGGAAATGGCAGCAAGGAGTTCCCATAATAGAAATGTGGCGCCGGTGCTGTTCTGCGCAGTTTATGGAGAGGAGTATCTGGGCAAGGAGCTCGGCGATTACGCTCAGCGGTTTGGTTCTGCCGGAATGATAATGGCATTACAAGTGCATTAGTGGCAGCGGCGCTACGGGTTGGTGCCAATTCGGTGGACCTGATCTACGGCATTATTGGCACCTTCTCTTTGATTTTTGTAGTTTGTATAACAATGTATTTTTATTATTATTATTGTTATTATTATTATTATTATTGTTATTATTATTATTATTGTTATTATTATTATTATTATTATTTAGGTTTGTTGGATCTAGGTCTAATGTGCATGTTCTTTTTTAAGGATGTTTTTCATATAATCGTTCTTTTCTCTCTAAGATTCAGTAGATATACAAATAGATTTTTTTTCATTTATTTATTTTTTTTTTCTATCCTATTACTGTGCAGGTTTTGCCCCTTAATGATCCGTTTTATGCATGTAGGTGAATGTTGCTTGTTAAAGTGTGTGCGGAAAAGTGTGTCGCGCGAAAAGGTCGAGAGATTTTTTTACATCTGTCAGTTGCTTGTGACGCAGGAAGGTTGATTGCCGATGCTTTAGCGCAGAATATTCGCCCCAGTGATGTGTGAGGTCGGTGATGTATTAGGAACGTTGCCACGGGACTTGTAACGAATCGCTTAAAGTAGTGAGTGGTTTGTGGAAAGGTATGAATGAGAACGAATATCTTCACAATACAAGAGATGTATTTGACCAGTTTCGATTATATCTTCGTCAGAAATACATGTAATACAAATACAAATCATGTATTTCTGACGAAGATATAATCGAAACTGGTCAAATACATCTCTTGTATTGTGAAGATATTCGTTCTCATTCATACCTTTCCACATTTGTCAACATGAATACGGTTCTAGTGAGTGGTTCTCGAACTTTCCCGGTATGCTTCCGTTTGATAAAAAAAAAGATAAAACGCAAAGACGTATTTGGAAAATGAAACCTGGTTTAGGAAACTAATCTATTATGCAGTTTTGGTTTTGTCAGCAGTATGGAAGGGTGAATCAACCTTCTGTAACATAGTTCATTGTCTTTACAGTTATTGTTAAAGGGATGGATGTGCTTGGTGCGTGTTTTACCAGTCAGAATTTGCAAAAAAAAAATGTTTTTAACTACTGCTAATACCATCCTATCGCCCCCCCTCCCCTCTCCGCCGCTCCCAGGGAGGCAGTGGCGCCCATTTTGGGAACCAATGAGTTGAATTATCCGATGGTTTGTGATTTTTTTCCGGGTTTAGGGAAGGGAAAGAATAAAAGTTCAGCTTGTTGCATTTCCTAAGGTATGATTTGCTTTCTTTTTTTCACAATCTGTTTTTTTCATCTTTATCTCTTCTCTCTGTCTCTCTCCTCTCTCTCTCTCTTCTCTCTTCTCTCTCTCTCTTCTCTCTCTCTCTCTCTCTCTCTCTCTCTCTCTCTCTCTCTCTCTCTCTCTCTCTCTCTCTCTCTCTCTCTCTCTCTCTCTCTCTCTCTCTCTCCCTCTCCCTCCCTCCCTCCCTCTCTCCTCTCCCTCTCCCTTCTCCCTCCTCCCTCTCCTCCCTCTCCTCCCTCCCTTCCTCTCGGCCTAATTCGTATCTAGAATCCTTTATAGCGAAAATATTTGCCACAAATGCTTTTATTTAAGTTGAAATACCCATGCAGATCCCCCCCCCCCACCCCATACCCACCTCCGCCCCTACCCGCCCCTACCTCCCCCCTCCGCCCCCTACCCCGCCCAACCCCCGCCCCCCGCCTGAACAAGCAGCGTTGAATATTAAGGATCATTTCTCGGTGCTTGAGGAAATGCCCCTACGCTGCAAGTGCTTCTCACACCCCACCTGTTGTTGCCGTGAGTGCTTGGAGTTCTTATATGGAGGTTATGTTCAGCGGGTCGTGGGGCGTTTTTATTTTATTTTTTTTATTTTCTGTTATTGTATATTATGGAGGCGCGTCAAGGGTTTTATGGGGTGGGGGGGGAGGACGGGCAGCAGGAGTAGTATTATTGTGTAGTATAACAATGTATATATGTATATATATGAACACGGCGGTGCGGCGGCGGTGGGTTCGATGCGCCGCCGTCGCTCTCGTGGGTTAAATTGCTGTTATGCGACGGCGCATAAACTCGTTTTTATTTGAGACTTTTGATATTTAAGAGTGTCTCTCTCTTCTCTCTTCTGGCTCTCTCTCTCTCTCTCTCTCTCTCTCTCTCTCTCTCTCGTCTCTCTCTCTCTCTCTCTCTCTCTCTCTCTCTCTCTCTCTCTCTCTCTCTCTCTCTCTCTCTCTCTCTCTCTCTCTCTCTCTCTTCGTCTATGGCTCGTCCGATGCGTGTCTGCGGCGGCTTGTGATGCCCGAGCGACTTATTGCCTATGGATGAGAATTTGCTGTGCTGAATGTCAATGGGGCAGCATTTCCCTACGTTGGCATGCATCCCGTGAATTATGGACGCGGCGACAGCGAAAATGTGCTGTCGGCGCGTTTAAAAGGTGCACTCTGCTCGTTTCCGGAAGTGCTGTTCTACCGGGAATGGCGAACGCGAGGTCGTGTAGATCGAGGGCTCTCGGTGTATGCCCGCACTCGCACACACACTCAGTAGGTCGTTCTACCTCTCAGTCTGCTTATATCTATAAATTTGGCTTTCTAGCTTTCTGCCTCCTTATCTATCTAATTATCTATCTGTCTGTCTATCTGTCTATACAAGTAGCATGTACACAGTAGGTCTTTCTACCTCTCAATCTACTTATATCTATAAATTTGGCTTCTCTAGCTTTCTGCCTCCTTATCTATCTAATTATCTATCTATCTGTCTATACAAGTAGCATGTATATATATGCTTGTGTGTATGTGTTTTTTTTTATCAGTTACGGTACCGGTATCTCCAGAGTTATCAGTAAATGCGAATATAATTACTTACGAAAATCGTAGTTACTCTATTTAACTTCTTTTATTCAGCCCATAAGGGTACTTGGATTGAAACGTAGCGTAAACAAGGCTTCCCGTGTTTATTATAGACGCTTCGTAGACTTGCTAATGAGAATGATTAAGAGAGAGAGAGACAGAGCCAGAACCAGAGAAAGGGCCAGAGACAGAGAGATGAGACAGAGACAGAGAAATTAGACAGATACAGAGCCAGAGACAGATAGATGACACTTAGACAGAGAGAGAGAGAGAGAGAGAGAGAGAGAGAGAGAGAGAGAGAGAGAGAGAGAGAGAGAGAGAGAGAGAGAGAGAGAGAGAGAAGAAAGAGACGAGAGAGAGAAGAGAGAGAGAGAGAGAGAGAGAGAGAGAGAGAGAGAGAGAGAGAAAGAGAGAGAGAGAGAGAGAGAGAAAGCACTAGACTGCAGCGGGACACTTTTTGATCGCCTTCGTCACGTCCCCCCTTTGTGTTCGTAGTGGTTAGTTGTTCAAAGTATTGATTCAAAATAGCGCGGGTTCCGGCCACACATGTGTCCGGCGCCTTTCCCTACGTGATTAATGGCGTTGTTTTCACGAGGTAGCTGTCGGGAGGAGGGAGGGATGGGAAGGAGGGAGGGAGGGGGGAGAGGGAGGAGGGAAGGAGGGTAGGGAAGGAGGGAGGGTAGAGGGGAGGGGAGGAGGAGGAGGGGAGAGGAAGGAGGAGGAGGGGGAGAGGGAAGGAGGGAGGGAGGGGGGAGAGGGAAGGGAGGAGGGGGAAGAGGAGGGAAGGAAGTGGTGGAAGGAGGAGGGAGGGAAGCAGGAGTGAGGAAGAAGGAGGGAAGGAGGGAGGGAGTGGTGGGAGGAGAGAGGGAGAGAGTCCGAGGGCCTCCATCTCTTCCTGTTATTCTCTTATTGCTGTCGCCTTATTTCCCCCCCACTTCTTTTTTTCCGTTTATTTTATTTTCTGGTTACCACCGTTCCCTTACGGCAATTTTCTAATCTTTTTATTTTATTTTTGTTGTTTGTTTATTAATTTAGTTGCTTTTTCTTTATTTTGGGTCCATATTTCTTTCACTATTTTGAATCATTTCTCGTTTCTATCGTGATTTTAGGTAATATTGATGTTGCGAGAGAGAGAGAGAGAGGAGAGAGAGAGAGAGAGAGAGAGAGAGAGAGAGAGAGAGAGAGAGAGAGAGAGAGAGAGAGAGAGAGAGAGAGAGAGAGAGAGAGAGAGACGTATAACAGCAGAAAAAAAAGTTAAATAGTATAATATTGCTCACGGTCAATTTTCGATATGTTTTTTTTTCTTCTAATGGGACGAGCCTTTAATGGCGTGTTTTTTTTTTTTTTTTTTTTTTTTTTTTTTTTTTTTTATCCCGCTGTTAAAGGAACCGTTGGTAGCGGCAAGGGGGCGGTGGGGGGAGG